GAGACTGAGGAGAATGGGATATGGATGGAGGTGAATGATGTGGAGGGAGGAGGGGGAGGAGGAATGATAACGAGGAAGCAGCCGGGGGAGAGAGGAAGACTACAAGGCATTCTGATCATGCCTCCGCTGCTTCTGAGGATGAGGAGCAGAGGTGTGATGACACGCAGACAGGATGAGGACGATGAGGATGCTGTTGTTGAGGATGAGATGAGGATGATGCTGATGCTGATGCTGGTATTGCTGCAGTTGATGGTGATGCCGAGGCAACGATGATGTTGCTGATGCTGGTGACGTTGAGGATGATGGTGAGGGTGAGGGTGATGATGATGCTGATGATGCTTATGATGATGGTGATGGTGCTATGATGGCAGATGGTGACGATGCTGCTGCTGATGATGATCACGATGATAATGCTGGTGATACTGATGCTGCTGATGATGCTGCTGCTGATGATGATGGTGATAATGCTGATGATGATAATTATGATTCTGATGGTGCTGATGACGATGATGACGATTATGGCGGTGCCAGTGATGCTGCTAATGCTTCTGATGATGATGACTATGATGCCAGTGATGCTGCGACGGTGATGAGGAGGGTTATGATGATGTTACTATTGGTCGTGACGACCATGCTGATGACGACGATTATTATGGTGTTGGTGATGATGCTGTGGACGATTATGACGATTATGCTGCGGATGATGATGATGCTGCGGATGATGATGCTGATGACGATGCTGATGATGATGATTGACTGTGATGATGATGATGCTGCGCATGATGATGCTGATGATGCTGGTGATGATGATGCTGATGATGATGATGACGCTGCTGCTGCTGCTGCTGCTGATGATGATGACGATGCTGATACTGGTGGTGATTGTGATGCTGCTGACGACGATGATGACGATGCAGCTGATGATGCAGAGGATGATGTAATGCTGGCTGTACTGATGATGATGATGATGATGATGATGATGCTGACGATGCTGATGATGCTGTTGCTGCTACTTATGATGATGATGATGATGGTTCTGCCGATGATGAGAAATATGATGATGATGATGATGATGATGATGATGATGATGATGATGATGATGATGATGATGATGATGATGATGATGATGCTGATGATGACGACGATGATGATGCTGATGACGAAGATGATGATGCTGATGCTGATGCTGATGCTGATGCTGATACTGATGATGAAGACGACGGAGATGCTGATGACGACGATGATGACGATGCTGAAGATGCTGCTGATGATGAGGATGATTCTGCCGATGATGATGATGATGCTGATGCTGATGATGATGATGATGATGATGATGATGATGATGATGATGATGATGATATGGTGATGATGATGACGACGATGTTGATACTGGTGGTGATTGTGATGCTGCTGACGACGATGATGATGACGATGCAGCTGATGATTCTGAGGATGCTGTAATGCTGGCTGTACTGATGATGATGATGATGATGATGCTGACGATGCTGATGATGCTGTTGCTGCTACTTATGATGATGATGATGATGATGATGATGATGATGATGATGATGATGATGATGATGATGATTCTGTCGATGATGAGAAAGATGATGATGATGATGATGATGATGATGATGATGATGATGATGATGATGCTGATGATGACGACGATGATGATGCTGATGACGAAGATGATGATGCTGATGCTGATGCTGATGCTGATGCTGATACAGATGATGAAGACGAAGGAGATGCTGATGACGACGATGATGATGATGCTGTTGCTGCTGCTGATGATGAGGATGATTCTGCCGATGATGATGATGATGATGATGATGATGATGCTGATGATAACGATGATGATGCTGATGACGATGACGATGATGCTGATGATGCTGATGCTGATGCTGATGCTGATGCTGATGCTGATGATGAAGAAGAAAGAGATGCTGATGACGACGATGATGATGATGATGATGCTGATGCTGATGCTGATGATGCTGCTGATGCTGATGCTGATGTTGATGCTGATGCTGATGCTTCTGATGATTGTGATAATGCTGATGATGATGCTGCTGCTGATGATGATGACGATGACGATGCCGATGACGATGGTGATGATGATGATGATGATGATGGTGGTGGTGGTGGTGGTGGTGGTGATGATGATGATGATGTTGATGATGATGATGACGATGATGATTATGATGATGATGATGATGATGATGATGATGATGATGATGATGATGATGACGGTGATGCTGTTGCTGCTGATGACGATTCCGATCACTGCGAGTGCGCGTGATGATGACGATGCGCATGTCCATTATGCTGCTGATGCTGATGACGATCCCGCCAAGGATGACGATGTAGATTCTGGTGCAGGGGATTTTTTTATATGATGGTTGCGATGGCGACTGCGAGCATCATCAATTCAAGTATGGTCGATACTTGTGTTGCTGATGATGATGCCGACTACTAGCATGTCGGCTACGACTGTGATGATGGTGATGATGAACATGGTGCTGGCTACGATGGATATTGTGATTCGGGTGATGGTGCGGCGGATGATGGTTATTATGCTCGTTATGGAGTTGTTGTTGTTGTTGTTGTTGTTGTTGTTGTTGTTGTTGTTGTTGTTGACGGTGCGGATGGTGGTGGTGATCTTGTTCATGCTTGCGATGCTGATGAGGTGGGTGAAGATCAGGAGGAGGAAGAGGAGGAAGAGCAACAGCAGGATGAGGAGGAGGGCGGGCGGAGAACGACGAGGGGTCAGGGCCCCTACCCAACTTCAGGTTTCGTAGGAGCATGAAGAGAGACGGCGGGAGGAGGAGGATGACGACGAGGAGGAGGACCAGAAGAAGGAGGAGTGTGATCAGGAGGACGAGGAGCAGGAGGAGGCAGGACGAGGAAGGGCAAGGAACTGTCATCATCGGGGTAGGCTCTCTGCGTTCTCTGTGACGTTGCCTGCCGGCTCGGGGGCCGCCCTGGCGCGGCGCGGCGGTCTTCCTGGGCCTGGCGCGGAAGCCTGTGCTCTCCGAGGGCACGAAGCTGAAGGACGTGGCGGCTCTTCCCCTTCGTCGCCTCGCCTCCCTCTTCCCCCCTCCCCTCTTCCCTTCTCCCTCCCTCCTCCCTCCTCCCTTCTTGCTATGGCACGCTCGGGGCACTGCCGTTTCTCGGAGGCTGGTCTGTGTGGGATGGCTGGGGAGGGGGCGAACCGATGACTTTCAGATTCTTCATTACCGTGCATAGTGCCACGTCGTACCACTGGGTTTGGCCGGATTTACGCTCGTTGGAGGGATGGGAGGTGGTGTTCACGATGTGGATGTGGCGCAGCGGTCTGGCACATGCCCAGGCTTTCTGCGTGGGCTTTCTGCGTGGGCTTAAATGCGTGACGCAGGATGGGAAGACCCCAAACCAGATGGATCAATTACATTCGGAAGCATATCGAGGACAGCCTGGGATATGGTGACAAGAGTAGCACAGCTACCCTCAATGTTGTATCGACGGGTTCTTGGAATCATTTTGGATCAACGTTTGTGTCACACCACATGTGAGCATGCCGCGCGAATACAGCATGTTTCCAGCGCCCCTGCGCCGCGCCCGCAAGCCCTACATGGTGCCTGGGCGCCGGAGTGTCTGCCAGTCTGTCAGTAGGCCTCTTGTTACGCTTCCTCTTTCATCCTGTCAGCTGCGCGTATCTCACATGATGCATTTGCCGTTCTGGTTGTCATTTTCCCGTGCGGGATGATTCCCGGCCGCAAGGCATGAGGCTACTCGCTGAATCAAGACGGCCAAGGCGTGTCGTAATTTTTATTCCCCAAGTGGCACGTTCCGTCGTTTGTGGTGGTGCTGCGTATTGATGTCGAGTGGACGCTGCGATTTTCACAATGATGCGATGCCGTCAGCGTGAAGTGGCTCTTCCAGTTCGGGCGCTTCTTGTTCGTTGTCATCCCGCCCGCCCTGACGACATGCCGGTGCGCACCACGCGTGCCCTGCCTGGACGCTGCCCAACACCGACGCCCACGGGCGACACGCCCCCTGAACAGCTCCTGGTCCCGCTGGTCGGCGACATGAACCCGCTCAATGTAGGCACCACGCCACCATCCAGCAACACCATGGTCGACCGCCTCCTCCCCATGTTCCACACGGGCAACTTCGGCATCTGGCGGCGCGACGGCTGCCCGCCCGGCACCGAAGGGCACAGGTGGCAGCCCCGGCAGCCCGTCTCCGTCATGTACGGCCACGCCGCAGACCCTGAAGGCCTCTTCGCGCCGGCCGTTCCCTGGTGCGTGGGCTTCCACCGGTCCAGCTCATGAAGGAGATGTTCCTGTCCAGGCGCTGGCACGCAGGCTGGTACTGCAAGGACTGCCTGATCCATCAGTGGGACATGGCCCCGTCTGCGGTGCGACGCGTGCTCGACACTACCCTGGTCCTGGGGCCAAGCCCCTCGCCGCGCCGCCTGGAGTCCCGGCCGCCCCTGCGGGGGCCGCACTGCGCCCCAGCCAGCAAGGCGTGCAACGGCGAGCGGCCGCGTGGGATCAGGAGGCGCGCGCCAACCAGGAGCGCGTCCGGGGGGCACCGCCGCCCCAGCCGGCCGACGAGCAACTCCAAGACGGCTGGACACGTAGGATGGCAGCCAGGGCGGCGCACGAACGGGCAGTGGCGCAGCTGAGAGGCCAGGGCGCCAGAGGCACAGGCAGCGGCGAGGCCAAGCCTGCAGACGCGGCAGCCAGCGTGGCGGCCCAGCAAACCCCGAAACCTGCAACTGCCAGTGGGTCCCGGCAGGACGGCGGTCCCGCGCCAGGCGGGCGCAGCGCCCGTTCCCCTGACCCCGCTTGCAGCCCGAGGCCCAGCAAGGACCTGCGCCTGGCGCCCGCCGATCAGTTCAACAGCCCGTGCGCGGCCCTCCGCCTGTGGGCTCCGCAGATACCTGTAATTATGGGCTCGGCCCGACGCGCCTGCTCGGCCCACCAACCGCGAGCGCGACCTCGCACCAGACGACCTGCGTGCGCACGTGGTACCTGCGGCACCTGGGCTTCGAGGTGGACCAGCTCTACAGGTACCTGGTGGACACGGTCCTGGACGCCGACGGCGAGCGCGCCGCGGTATGCAGTCCGAAGCTGCTCTCCGACGACTACCCGCGAGCGGTCCTGCGCACGATCTGGCCCCAGGGCGTCATCCCCGACGACGCCCTGCCTGGCTGGCCGCGCTGGACGTTCGATGCGGAGCGGTGCTTCCTGGCGCACGTGGTGGCGGTGGCTGGTCGCCCACGGCGGCATGAGGGGCAGCTGGGGGCAGTACTGCGCTGACCACGCCCTCGCCCAGCGCTACCCGCCCCTGGCGCACCGACAGCAGCTACTAGCCTACGTCGTGCACCTGGGCCAGCAGGCTGTGGGGGCCTGCCCGTGCCTGGCGCGGGAGGCGGTGGCCCCTGGCCTGCGCCCTGTCCCCAGCCGGTTCCACGAGCCCGTCGCGAAGCAGGCCGCTGCCGGCCCTGAAGACGCCAGGGCCCGCGTCCAGAGCCTGAAGCTCCCAGCCGTGGGCCCGCCGAACGGCCCCGAGCTGACGGACCGCCCCATTGCGGGGCTCGCTTCCGATCGCGACATTGTCGCCCCGGGCTGCCTGCAGCGCGAGGTCATGCGGCACTGCGTCGCCCTGGCCTCCCAGCACCGCCGGCAGTGCGTGGACCACCTGGGCCGCGCAGAGGGCCTCCGAGACGGGGCGCTCGCGGTCGCAGAGCCTGGGCCCGATCAGTTGGGGCGCTGAGGCCTGCGACGAGTTCCTGGGCCTGGTCTACGGAGAGTCCGTCCCTGACACCTTCTTCCCCTCCCGCAGGGGCAATGGGGCGACGACCGCGCCGCTCTCGTGCACCTTGTCAGCTTCCTGACGATGGGTGCAGTCAACGGCGGCGGCGATCTGGGAGCGCGCTGGGAGCAGCGCGTCCGCGCCAACCGGATGAGGTTCGGCCCCTCGCCCCTGGCCGACCCGCGAGCGGTGCTGGGGGCCTTCGTGGCGGCCGCCGACGTCGAGGCCCTGGGCAAGGGGCTGCTCGCCTACTACCGGCCCAGGACCCTGCCTTCGCAGCCTCTCTTCGCCGCGCGCGCTCCCGAGCAGCGCAAGGGCCCTGCGGCCGCCCCGCGGACAGCGGCGGAGTCGCCACCGCCTACGCCGAGTGACCGCGAACCAGCCTCGCACCCGCCCAGGGCGCGCCCCGCGGCAACCAAGTCCCCGGGGGCCCCGCCGGCCGCGGTCGCAACCCCTGGGTTCGCCCTGGGGCGCATGCGACGCGACCGCAACCGACGGCAAGGACTGACGCGCCATTCCTGACCCCCGCTCGCCAGATCCAGACCGACGACCCAGACATCGAGAACGGCGACTACGTGGTCATCCGGAGCGACCTCGCCGACGCCCGGGCCAGGTGGTTTGCAGGGGCGCGAAGCTCCGATCCCCTGTTCAGGCAGCCCCTGGACGTGGCGGTCTTCTGCCCGATCTTCGACGCCCAGTTCCGCGCGGAGGGCGTGCGCCGCTTCCTGGTCGTCCAAGTAGGCGACGAGTGGCTCGAGATCTGGAGTGCCAGGGCCAGGGCGCTGTGCGTCGAGATCCTTCGCGGCAAAGCGGCGGGCCGCGCTGCCGACTTCCTCGAGAATTCGCCTTAAGGCCCCCGCGCCGCCGGCGGCCGCGGCCGACCCCGAGACGGTCGACGCGGCGCCCGCGGAAGGGGCTCAGCCCAAGTCCAGGCCCGCGTCCCGGCCCCAGTCCCTCGCTCCAGGCGCGGGCGCGCAGGGCACCGCGCAGGAGCAACCGCCGGGCGACGACGCCAAGGAGGTACCTGACTACAGCTCCAAGGACCAGGAAGAGGCCCAGGCTCAGCAGCTGGCAGAGGCCGCAGGCGCAGTCCATTCGGTCTCACCGGCCCAAGGCCCTGGAGCCCATTGGCAGGTCCACTTTGACGCGGGCTCCCAAGAGGTTCGGCGCAACAGCCCTGGCCGTGGCCCTGACGCGCAGCGCCAGGTCCGCTCCGCCGGCGAGACTCCGGCGCAGGGCGCGCCAGCGGCGGCCGACGCCGACGCCCGCGCCCCGCGCGCGCCCCGCCAGACTGTGACAGCCGGGGCCGGGCGCGCGGCGCCCGACCCCCGTCCTCCGCATGGGTGCGGCCGCGGGCGCGGCAAGGGCGGTGGGCCGGGGCTCTGGGGCCCGTATGAGGGCACGACAGGGCGGCGCTCGCGCAGGGGCACCAGCGACAGGGGGCGGGCCAGAGAGCGCGACCGCGGGCGGGGCCGTGATCGTGACAGGAGCGGAGGTGGGGGCTCTTCGCACCGATGCGACGATCACCGCCGCCCTGAGCACAACAGAGACGATCGCCGCCGCCCTGACCACAGCCGCCCTTGGGAAGAGCGCCGCGTCAGCTGGCCGAGGCGCCCGGGCGAGACGGCGATCGCCCACCTGAAAAGGCTGAAGGGCGCGGGCAAGGCACTCCTGGCGTAGGCACGTGGGCCGCGACAAGGGCAAGAGCAAGGGCGCGGTCAAGTTCGACCCATCCTGCTGGCAGCCCAGCATGATCGACCGCTTCCTGGACGACATGGCACGCAGCCGCCGCGATGCGGGTACCTGGCCCTCGACTGTGGGCGTCTACATCGACTGGGGCCGCGAGAACGCCCTGTTTCAGGAGTTCCAGCGGAAGCGGGAGGTGGCCAAAGGCGAGGGGCGCGGGGACGGACCGTTCCGCAGCTTCGGGTCCGTGGACAATTTTGCCAGAATGCAGCGCCCCAGGCGCTGACTTGTCTCGAACGCTCGTGACTGACCTCGCGGCCTATAGGGCGCCCTGCCCTGACCGCCCCTCCTGTCCCTGGCAGGGTCTCTCGGCGTTCTTCCTCGGGTACGACCTGTTCGTCGCCTTCTACAACGCCTGGCCCTGTCTCCCCTTCCTCCCTCCCTCTCTCGCACCTCTCCTGATTCCGCAGGTCCCACCTGCCTCCGGTGGCTGGTGGGGCCGCCCGGGTGCCGGCGCGGGGTTTCCGCGGCGCTGACAGTCCAGCCTAGCTGGCCACTCTCCTCCCTGCCCGCTTCTCCCTTCCCCCGCCCGCTGCCCCCCCCCGCCGCCATGGCGGCCGCGCCCGGCACGGCGCGGCTTCGGCCCAGTGCCCGGCGCTCGCACGCGCAGGTCCTGTTTCCCTGTGCCTGCTCCGGCACGCCGGCACCCTGCCGGTCGTCGCAGACGGCAAGTCCGGCGCGTCCTGACTGCCGCGCTTCTTGGCTCTGCGGTGCTCGTCTCCTGGACCTGCGGCACCATGAACCACTGCGGCCCAACCTCCCTGATACCTGGACGGCGGCACAACCTTGCACTTCGTCTCGTATCGTCCTCTCGTCTTCCCTGATTCCCGATGCCGCCTGGTTGAAAAACGCGTCATCGTCCTCCGCTGACCCGAGGCTGGTGTTAAGCACACGTTGGCGACAATTATCCCAATGCGACCCTACTTAGGAGTTGGGGCATTTAGGAAAGCTACATATACACCGGCAGCTATATTTACAGCTACACCTGCATTAATATCTACACCTGCATCTAGGTCTGCCGCTGCTGTTGCTTTGCCTTTGCGTTGCTGCTATGCTATGATATGCTGTGCTATGCTGCGCTATGCTGTGCTTTGCTATGATATGCTTCGCTATGCCGCGCTATGTTGCGCTATGCTGCGCTATGCTATCTTTTGCTGTGCTATGATCTGCTATGCTAGTCTAGGTTACGCTCAACTGCCTTGTGTTATGCTTTGCTATGCTGTGCTATGCCACGCTATGATATGATATGATATGCTGCGCTGTGCTATGCTATGCTATGAAATTATATGCTATGCTGCGCTATGCAATGCTATGCTAGGTTATGCTATGATGTGCTATGCTGCGCTATGCTATGATATACGATGCTGCGTTCTGCTATGCTATGCTGTGCTGTGCTGTGCTATGATATGCTATGATATGCAGCGTTGTGCTGTGCCAATAAATGTTAGGATATGCTATGCTATGCTGCGCTATGCTATGCTATGCTATGCTATGCTATGCTGGTCTATGCTACGCTATGTTTTGCTATGCGATACTATGCTATGATGTGCAATGCTGCGTTGCGCGATGCTATGCTGCGCTAAGCTAAGCTAAGCTGAGCTAGGCTAAACCAAGCTTAGCTAAGCTGGGTTAGGCTAAGCTAGGCTAAGCTAAGCCAAGGCAAGCTAAACTAAACTAAGCTAAGCTAAGAGGAGATAGGCTACGCTAAGCTAAGCTAAGCTAAGCTAGCCTAAATTAAGCTAAGCTGAGCTAAGCAAAGCTAGGCTAGGCAAAGCTAAGCGAAGCTAAGCTAAGCTAAGATGAGATATGCTACTAAGCTAAGCTAGGCTAAGTTGAGTTGGGCTGAGCTTAGGTGGGTGAACCCAGGGGGCGCAACCGGGGGAACGGCGGGGCGGATCCTGGGGGAACCGCCCGGGGCGAGGACCACCGCCCAGCCCTTTTGAGCTCTAACGTAAGAACCCTTTTAGGCAGAGCCTGGGTAGGGAAGAACACCTACGGTAACATTTTGCTCCTCCCCGGTACTTCGCCACCGGGCTCCTGCCGAAGGCGTCCCCTTGCAAGAACTTCGACTTCGGCACCGCCCGTATCCGAGGCTACGCCTCCTCTCGGCTTCGCTCTGAGGCTCCGCCGCTTCCTCCCTCATCTTCTCTACCCAATTCAAGCTTCGCGCGACCCGCTTAGCTTCGACCGGAAGAGCTGCGCTCTTGACCCGCGGATCAAAAAAGTGTTCGTTGTCATCCCGCTGGTTTTCATGGTCAGGGGGAGCTGTTCGATGGTAAATATAAAACTCTTCAGGGATCCTACATTCCGACACTTTTCTGTTACGTTTTGTTGTTACGTTTTGTCTCCAGGGTTCCATCGCCGCATCCCGAAACGCTCCTGCAGGGTGAGGGTGGCGATGCCCTTGGAGCACCGCGTTGAGGCGCGTATCAGCGGTATTCGCACAACATGCGGTGTTCCCGCTCATGGCGCTTGAGGGAGGAGGAGGAAGGCGGTGATGGTGCTTCTGTTGATGATGATGGCGGTGGTGAAGATGATGATGGTGATGTGGACGACGATGATCATGTTGCTGATGATGATGATGAAACTGACGCTGCTGCTGCTGATGATGATGCTGATTGCGAAGATGATGATGATGATTATGATGATGATGATGATGATGATGATGGTGGTGGTGGTGGTGGTGGTGGTGATGATGATGATGATGATGATGATGATGTGGATGATGCGGATGACGATGCTGATGATGGTGATGATGCGGATGATGGTGATGCTGGTGACGATGATGGTGTTGATGATATTGATGATGATGTTGATGCTGATGTCGATGATGGTGGTGACGATATTGATGATGCTGATGATGCTGATGATGGTTATGACGATGCTCATGATGATGAGGATGATGTTGTTTTTGATGCTGATGCTGCTGCTGATGATATTGATGCGGTTGGTTATGGTGATGTTGATACGACAGTGTGGACGGCGGCAACGGCGATGATGAGGGTGATGGTGGTGACGATGGTGATGATGTTGGGATTGGCTATGATGATGAGGATGTTAACAAACGTGGTACGGAGGATGATGGCCAGGCTTTGAAGTCAGTCTCCCCGCCAGGACTACCAAGCCACGGGCGTGAACTGGCTCCTGCACTCCATACACAACAGGCGCGGCGGATGAGAGGCTGGGGAGGATCGTGACGAGGAGCAGGCTCGAGAACACACCCTGGAGATGACGACTCGAAGGTCCCGATGGAGAGCTTGATGGCATTCAGACGAGTGGTCGAGATGTGGAGTAGGGGCTGGAGGAAGGGAGGAACATGAGGTGTCAGATATCCAGGGGTTGACATGGACATGAGCGCCGCGTGGAGACCGCCGTTTTGCACATTCGGCGAATGTTGACTGATACAGGCGGTCGCATTTCTGACCGACCAGCCCGCCGGCGCTAGTCATCACCCCGCCTTCAAGAACGCGTGG